ACATATACATTTCTACATTTTTCTACATTGATTAGGCAATTAAAATTCTCATTTTTTCACCAAAATTCTAATTTTAGTATTTAATTTTGAGTCCATTTTTGATGCATTTTTTATTTTGTTTTGCAGAGTTTGCCGCAAACGCCGACGATAAAAAGCTTCTCAACTATTTTTTCCACAGATTCAAACCAGGACAGTTCGGTGGAGCTGGGCATTCAGCAAGACAACGTAAGCACTTAAAAAAAAATTGAGCTAATTTATTTTGGTTCTACGCCACCCATCAATGCAAACAGGTTTTCCGCTTTCCTAGACAAAAATCTCTACGATCTCAAATATCCCCTTTCTGCTAATAATTTATAATTTGATTTTTAGTTGTAGTTGAAAAGTTGCACGAACGCAATTCACTTTGATTAGTTTTATCTTAACGGGCGCACTAAAAAGCCATTATTTATGAATGTTGATTGCGCCTCTCTTTATCAACAATGTGGCACTTAACAAGTTCACATTCACAGGGTGATTCAAACTACCCGGAATGTCCACGCGAAGAGTGCGCAATAATATCAAAAAGTCACATACATCTGAGTCAAAAGTAGGCAAAAAAGTTGGGAACTATAATCGAACCAATCAAAAACACCCGGATGTTTTTTGAATCACCCTGTATGGTAGTAGTGAATTTTTCGATTTTTAATCGCCACATTGAATGAATGGACTTTATAAATAGCCTTATCTGCGCTCTTAATGAAATCAATAAACAATTGCATTTAATTATCGCTGGTGCTGGAAGCGGCCAGGAAATGCAAACAAAAGCCCAAAGCGAATTAACACCATAATTTAATCAACCAAAAGGGAAAAAATACGACTTCGAAAAATACAATGTTTAATGTTTACATTGCGAGCGCTGAAATGTATATTTTCGAAGGCACATTATCTCTACCAAGTCTGAGAAACAGGTTTGTTTGTTTATTCGTATGGGTAAACTTGACACTATTTGTTTGGAATCGAGTGTATGTGTGGATCAGTTACTTTTTATGTAAGAGAAAGAAGGTGATTGAGGATTATGGACTTGGTGGAAGCCAGTGGCGCAACCACAAAAACCCTTTATTCGATCAAGACTAATTTTTTCGTAAAACTCACTTCGCTCTTCCATAGGCTTTAGTATACCGAGACGGCAACCTTCTGAGCGGCTCATTGGAGGCTCTGATCCAACACATGGTGCCTACAGAATCGTACTATCCAGATCGCGCCTACTTGTTTGCATTCCTGCTTTCCGCCCGGCTATTTATCAAGCCGCATGATCTTCTGGCTCAGGTGCGCGCACTTGGGGATCAGCAGCAGGGGCTGGGCGAGTCCGGATCGCTTCCTGGTGCCTCCAACGGGCCTCAGCAGATGCGATTCGTCGAGAAAATGGTGCAACTGTTGGCCGAATGGACCGAACAGTTTCCCTACGATTTTAGGTGAAAACCCGCTTTTTAAATAACTCAAGCAGCAGAGAAAACAACGTATTTGCTTGCAGGGATGAGCGGATGATGGAACATGTGAGGAAGATCACGCAACAGTGTTGCTCAATCAACCCGACGTTGAGGGCGAATGTATCGCTTTTGCTGCACAATTTGCATCCGCGATTGACTGCCTTGGAAGAGTACGAAAAGAGTCTGGAAAATCAGGTAAGTCAGTTGGTTTAGCTAGTTGAGGCGTTGCTAATGGTTGGGTTGTTTCAGACGAATACCGCTTCATCAGACGAGCACATTTCCTGCCCGGATATTTCGGACATTTGCCCGCATCCCGATAAACTTGCGCAACAACTTACTCATGTGGAATTAGAGAGGTATGTTTTGGTGGCAGTTTTATTCGAATTTACATAATTCATGCATTAATATGTGCAGTATCGTCTTCAAAAGCTAATCAAAATGATCGAATCTTTTTCGTGAAAAAATGGTTGCCCGACTCAAAAGACAATGATTTATAATATCTTGTTAGGTTGTCGTTCATTGGGCCTGAAGAGTTCGTCCAAGCATTCGCCAAGGAAAATCCAGCGCTAGAAACTTCGTTTAAGGACCTGAAGAAGACACGCAACCTCGAACAGTACGTTCAATGGTTCAATCGACTGAGCTACTTTGTCGCCACTCAAGTGTGTAAAGTGAGTAAACCCGACCGAAATTAGCATCAGTTAAAAACTTGCTAAAAAAATCCTTGATTTCAGTACCAAAAGAAGAAGCAGCGAGTGAAAATGGTGGAATTCTGGATAGAGACCGGGCGGGAATGTTTCAACATCGGCAACTTCAATAGTCTGATGGCCATAATTGCTGGTCTGAACATGTCGCCGATTTCCCGACTGAAAAAGACGGTAACTGGCCTGCTTGAAACCTGGCTGAAGCTAAGTGATCAATATTTTGTTTTGCAGTGGAACAAAATCCAGTCGGGCAAGTTTGCCATTCTGGAACACCAAATGGATCCGAGCAGCAACTTCAGCAGCTACAGAAGCACGCTGAAGGCGGCGATGTGGCGCAGCGCTGGCGCCACTGATCAGCGCCAAAGAATAGTAATTCCCTTCTTCAGCCTGCTGGTCAAAGACCTGTACTTTCTCAATCAGGGCTGTTCTAGCAAGTAAGTCCTAAATCAGCGACACTTGGCACATCAGCGATTCGGACTAAACTGTGCATTTTCAGACTGCCGAACGGCCATATCAATTTCGAGAAGTTCTGGCAACTGGCCAAGCAGGTGACTGAATTTATGGCCTGGAAACAGGTGACTTGCCCCTTTGAGAAGGATTCTAAGGTGATTTCAGTGCTTCAGCACAGCCCTGTGCTCAATGAAAACGCGCTGGCACGGGCCAGTTTCGAGTGCGAACCCCCCGATAACAATCAGGAGAAGGAGCGCTGTAAAACGCTGAAAGCTGAAGGAGGTAGCAATTCCTAATTTTCCTTCTTTTTTCTATGCAAGATTGCCACGTTTTTTCGTTTGCAATCGCGCTTTGGACGCCACTGGTTCGTCCGCATTTCGGATTAATATTCTTTGCGTAATAGTTGCGAACATTTTGCAAAAAAATCCGGTCTTACGTGATTTTTCTGTGAGTATTTGAGCTTTTGCCAGTTTCGAACAGTACAAGATTTCGAATTTTGTTCAAATCGCAATTGAAAAAATCTACGTATTGTGGAAAGTGTCCAAGCAAGCTCAGATCAGATGAATCGAGATTTTCGTAGCTGATGCTGAAGTATCGTCGTTTTAGCCAGAAGCCAGTCAATGTGTACGAGCTTCAAGTTTATTCTTCTTTAAATAGAAAAGTTGCTGAACTCGAACCTCGAGCAAGTTGAAATTTTCTTGCAAAATTCCCAAAAGAAGCGTTCTAAATCGGAGCTGATCGAATATTTTTGGCGCAAAAGTTCCACGCAATTCCTCAATTAAGTAGAATCTATTTTTAAAGCAGTAGTAGTAGAAGTAGACTCCTATTTTCCACTCTGTATGTTTAAGCAATTAAGCTTTGACACATTTTTTCTAGTGATATTAACGCCCTCTCATTGGCAAAGATCGAATCCAAGTTAAAAGCTATTATGTTACGTTGTTTATTTTACATATAAAGGGTGATTCACCTTATGCGGGACTTTATTTCACGCGGAAATGTATGGGTATTTTATTATTACAGTCTGCTTAAGAAAACATGTAATTTTGTAATTTTTTTATGTAGCTCTCGAGGGGACAGTTGAAAAGAGTTTTTAAATTTAGCCCGCATTTCATATACTACATTAATAGCTTTTCTCTAGAAATAAAGCCTCGGATAAATTGATTCACCCTGGATATATTTTTGAATGTTGCCACCTATGTACAAAAAACTCCATAGTATCTATGGTTTTTCCCCAAAAAATGGGTGGTTTGTGTTGTTGGATTTACTTTCCATTTGATTGTTACCGTCGGTAGACACATAAACCAGCCATTTGCCGTTCGTTCACACCTCCCATTAACAAAGTAATTTATTTTTTTACAATTTTGTATATATTTTTAAGCAGTTTGTCGCTGTAACATTTGTGTACATACCTGCCGTCGTTGATGTTTACTTTGTTTATATTTTTTAGAGCTCATATTGTACATCTACTGTAAGGTGTAAATGATGATTTTATTTTTGCAACTTATTGTGATTTCTTAGGTTTAGTTTCAGCTGCTGTTAGGAGCGATTTTCGATTAGTGTTAGTTATTGTTTGGATTAATATCATTGACGTCTCGCTCTCCCAAGTGCACGGTTGAGAAGTTTGAAAGTGGTCCTTATTTTGCCTATATGTGAAAGTTGTGATGCTAAAACTATTTATATAAGAAACCAGTAGAGAGTATTTATGGCTAAGTATATATATTTATGAATAAACTGCAAACATTTCCTGTACAGTGTGTCCCAGAGATGGCGGCTGGGCAAGCTATACATTGGAAGTCTCTCAAAGGCCTATTCCTTCTTCCACATTTATCAAGTTCAATGTGAGTACGGAAACGTGGCTATTGAGGGACAACCAGTGTATTTTATAGGGCTACAGTTTCGACCGCGTAATTGCAGAAAAGGAGTTTTTTTAGATCACTTAGGCGGAGCCATTTTTGTACGCAGCTATATACTCGACGGTGTTTTATACCTCAATGTTTTTTACGATATATTTATATATACATTTAATGTACTTAATACTTTACTAGTATTACGACCAACGTATTCGTACCGCAGTATTTGAAAGGATTCTTTGGCACTTTGGAAATGGTTCTCTCTGCTCATTTGGCATCGAGAATCCGCCGATTTTGCCACGAAAAGCTTCACACCCACCACCCATATATATAAACAATCATTTAGTTGTTAACGAGAAGAAAACTTTAAAAGACTTAAAATCATCAGTATTCTAGTCATTAGATAAGGATATTGCGTACCGCTTACGATAAATTACATTTTAAGCCACTGAAATGTAAAAAAATTATTTGTATTGTATCAATAAAATGTTTTGTGTATAAATAATTCATGTTTTTTTTATTCCTAAGAATTTAATTTTTCGATATTTTTTAGTTTTTTCTTTTTTTGCACTTTGAAAAATGTGGCATTTTGAACCAATTGTATAAGTAATACAAGATTTAATACGTATTTAAACGTAATGTTTACATATATAAACAAGTGGTCAATTGGAAAGGGGTGAATCTGCGTTATGTTTATAATGAAATAACCTGCAAACGGACGTCAGCAATGTCAACTGCCAGTTTAACGTAGAAAATAAAACGTGCAGTATCGGGGCACAAATCTGTGGCACAAATACTACAGAACAGTATTTTAATTTTGCAGTACTTATTTTTTAGACTGATTTGCGCAGGCGTTTATGTACCAAAATAGCGCAAACTATAATACTGCATGAAAGTATTGGCGGACCAATAACTCTCTAATATCTGTCATTTTGTTGAATAAGACATATCATACTATATATATCACTAATTTGAATAGGAAACACTTCCGCCCGCCATTTCGTTCAGAAAACTGTTTGTGTCCATTTTGTAACGCCCATCTCCAGTTCAAGTAAAAAAGCAAAATTAATTGATTAAAATAAGACGAAATGGCGGCAAATCGTTTTAAATGAAATCGCGAAGTTCTAAAGTGTTCTTGTTAACTAACTGGCGGTGTTTAAGCCACTTGAACTAAAAAAAACCTCTTATCAATTCACGATTAATTGTTCGACATTTTGTTGAAGTAGCCTGTCTTATACCGGTATGATCGAAAACTGTACGGTTTTAAACGAAAGACCATAGTTTGATAATCTGTGCGAAAGACACGTCAGTTTTTACTCATTAAAATGTTGACATTGGTTTTTTGGCTGTTTTAGGTTAAAGCGAGCGGAAAAAAACTCCAGTTTTGCCTTTGTGCTTCGCAATGACTAAGGGGTGAGTGTTTTTAAGCCGTAACTGGCTCGATGACCTTCTATTTAGTTTTGCCATAGATTCGGATCGCAATGTTTGAAGGTTATGCGAAACGCTTCAAAAGTTCATTCTCTAGAATGTCCTACCGGTTTGCGAAGCCTACTTGGTGTAAAAGTCTGGATAGGACTTATCATGATGACAATGTGGAGCCGTTTTATATTCAATAGGATACAAGACCCCTTTCGGGAGTAGGGGGCACTTAAATCCTCAAAAAATCTTGAAAGTACACTTTTTTAGGACGAAAGAGAAGGCCACAAGTTATTGCTTTTTATACATGACCTTTTTGAGACTTAAAGAAGCAGTTAAGGGGCTTTTTAATCAATGAAAATCTTCTAAATAAGAGCGGTGTTTAATCCTGAATAGCAACCCCGGTCGGTCAATTTAACAACAATCCCCCAATTTACCTAAATATGTTAGCAAATGCTTGTAAAGTTCCGTTGATCGCATGTAGACGTTCACAATTAACACGTTTTGTTCGAGCGGAATCAGATAGCAAGTACGGTACTTGAAGCTTAAGCACGTATAGATGAATAGACGGGATGGCTGTAGACGTTATGAAACAAACTAAGAACTCCATTTTTGGTTGATCCTATTTTTTAAATGTTTTCGTTTTATTTCAGAGTATTTTTGGCGGGGCTGGTGCTGCTGGCAGCCACAAGTACTACATTGGCTGTGGATAAGAACAACTTTAAAACATGCGAACAAAGCAGCTTTTGCAGGTAATAAATCAATGCAATAACCAGATTTCATCCACTAATTTCTTATGCTAGGCGTTTGAGAAAATACGAAGAAGGCGCAAGCCCCTATCGTCTCGACTTTACCAATGTGAAAAAAGAGGGCAGTACTATTGAGTTCGGTCTGATCAACAAAGAATTTCCTACAGTCCAGCTGAAGCTCGTTCTGCAAGGAATTAGTCACGACATCTTCCGAGTGACGGTGGATGAAGTGAATGGGCTGTATCATCGCTACATACCGCGAGTGGCTCTCAACGGAGATCCTGAGCCCGCAACGTAAGAGTTTTGCTTGCCATCACTTCCAAGATATATGGCAAGATATTGTTTTCTTCCAGATTAACTATTCAGGAACAAACGGACAATTCAATGACGGTAAAGGCCGAAAGCCAAAAAGTTGTGATTACCGCGGATCCTTTAAAGTTGGAGTTTTACTACGGGGACGAGGTGCAAACAGTGGTCAATGCCAGGGGATTGTTTGCTTTTGAACATTACCGCAATAAACCAGCCGATGGGTGAGACTCTCATACATTTGACTATGAGCCAAGTCGCCCCCAGTTTGAAACACAGTTGAGAATTAAACGTTAATTTGTCGTGTTGGATTCTAGGGAAGTAGATGTGCAAATTAAGGACGACCCGGGCGCTTGGGAGGAAAACTTCAAGTCCCACCACGACAGCAAACCCAGAGGACCCTCTGCTATAGGTACTAGTTTGCTGAACTGTTGAGTTCCTACCGAATAAACCATTTTACAAATGCTGGTTTTCAGCTGCCGATTTTACTTTTCCTGGAGCGGTGCGCGCCTACGGTCTTCCTGAGCACGCCGATCGTCTGTCGCTGAGAACAACAGGCAAAGGCGGTTTGGATCCTTACCGATTATACAACTTGGATGTCTTTGAGTATGAGCTCGACAGCACTATGGCGCTCTATGGAGCTGTGCCTCTAGTTTATGCACATAGGTTAGTACTTTTATGGCCGCAGTTATACAGCAAACAGCGTTTTGTCTAACTATTCTCTATTTGCAGCCTCAAACATACTGCGGGCGTCTTCTGGCATAATGCGGCGGAAACTTGGGTGGACGTGAACAACAGCAAAGACGCCAATGTGGTCTCGTCGTTGGTGAATCTGGTGAGCGGCTCTAAAAACGAAGCTAAAGTCGATGTTCGCTTCATGAGTGAAAGTGGCGTCATGGACTTTTTTGTGATCGTGGCAGCTAATCCTGGTGAAGTTACCAGAATGTACTCCTATTTGACTGGATCCCACAATCTTCCCCAGGTAATTTTCTCTTTTCTTTGTTCACGAACTTTTCAATTCAAAGCCTGGTATCGCAGCTTTTCGCCTTGGGTTACCATCAATCGCGTTGGAACTACAATGATCAGGATGATGTGACTAACGTGGTGGCGAATTTCGATGCCCATAATTTGCCTGTGGACGTCATGTGGCTGGATATTGAATACACCAATGGTAAAAAGTACTTCACTTGGGATCCTGTCAAGTTCTCCAACCCTCAAGAAATGGTCAACAACTTGACCAGCACTGGCAGGAAGCTGGTGGTCATTATTGACCCTCACATCAAGCGAGAGAGCGGCTATTTTGTGCATGAAGACGCGCTGGAGAAAGACTTGTATGTGAAGAACAAAGATGGAAGTGTCTATGAAGGTAATAGGCGTATAATAATTTTCGTTTTGCCAGTGTTGATTTTCTGGTTTAATTAGGCTGGTGTTGGCCGGGATCTTCGTCCTACTTGGACTTTTACAAACCCGAAGCTTCGGAGTACTATAAAAATGCCTACAGTGTTGAGGTCTTCAAAGGAACGAGCGATAATGTTTGGCTGTGGAACGACATGAATGAGCCTTCAGTTTTTAATGGGCCTGAAGTGACCATGCCAAAGGACCTGATACATTATGGAGATTGGGAACATCGGGATATCCACAACGAATATCCACTGGCTCATGTAAGTTGAATATTCATTGATCATACCTTCGAAATACAAAAAAAATGGTGTGCGTCACGGGACGCTCGACAGAAGTGATAACTTTATATATTTATAGAAACCATAAAATATTGAACGCATGATGGCAATAATAATTTTATTTTATAATTTTAATATTATTGTTAGTCTAATAATTTATAAATGGATCAGGAATAGGTAAAATTTAATTTAATTTCCTTTTGAATGTAAAACATCTTTTTTATTTGCAACATTTAACATTCTTTAAC